CCCAATTGCTGGGTTTGTCCCTATTTTACCCAGCACTGGGTTGTATTTAACCAAGCATTTTTTAGAGAGTAGTTCTTAAATTTATGTCACATGACTATTTAAAATGAACTAGTGTAGGGAAAATAAACAAACAAAAAATATTGACACAAAACATATTGACACATTATAACTTGTCACAGGACCTAAGAGCTTTCCTCTTATATATTCTTGCAAATTTGATCCCACCATCCTGAATGTAATAATAATAATAATAATAAAAAAAGATCTTGTTTGGTCTATACATGTCAACTATCCAAATACACACTCTAAAAAATGCTGGGTTAAATACAACCCAGTGCTGGGTAAAATAGGGGCAAACACAGCAATTGGGCTGTTTTGACCCAGCGGTTGGGTTACTACCCAGAAGGTTGGGTTAAACCGCAAAACAGCCCAATTGCTGGGCTTGTCCCTATTTTACCCAGCACTGGGTTGTATTTAACCCAGCATTTTTTAGATTGCAATATTACTGAAAGTTTATCATTTATATTCAAATGTGAAATAATGAAATGCCTTTACTTGCATCGACCTTACCCATCTCCTTTAAATAGAATAAAACATTTAACATGCTGTTGAATGTGAGCAATAAGCAAATATTGCATAATGTGCAAATACGCAATGGCAATCAGGAGCGACAACACATGAGATTTCTTAAACACTCATGACATTTTTTTTTTCTTTTTGTATTTTATCTGCACATATGAACACTTTCCCTGCACCTCAATAAACAAGCACGAGTGCTACTCACGACATACAGAAGAGGAGAATGTTTTTTTTTCTTCGTTTTTTCAGAAAAGTAGGTCATGCTTATGATGAGGGTTTCCACGCTTCTGTAGCTACTCATGATGAAGCTGCCAAGTGTCACTTAATACTCCGTTTTGGGCATCTCTGCCAAACCGTTATCATGCAGTGTGATTTATAACACTGTACCATTTTTTATGTAAACTCCATTACAGCCTACCAATGCAAAAACCTCATCAGAGCACTCAACATAAAAACATCAATTCCACTTACATTGCTTTAAACAAATCATTATTAAAGCTCAGGGCCAGCACACACATGAAACAAATAACTGGTTTTAAGTGAGAGATGTGCCCTGACACATAAAATCACCAAATGGGTGGATAAAGTTTGGCACCATTTAACACCGCTCCTGCGCATGACAGAAACTGACTGTTTACATTGACTATCACCCAACAGCACAATATATTTTTTACACAATATATTACTATAACATTACATACACAGAAAAAAAAATCACCCCTCTTCATTCAACAACAATGAAGACTTGAAACGAAAGGCATTTACAAGGAATAGTTCACCACTAAATGAAAATTCATTCTTTACTCACCTTGTGTTGTTCCAAACTTGAATGACTTTCTATCGTCCTTGAAATGTCTAAAACATGCATAGACTCTTACAAATAAAGACGCTTAAAAGGTTCTTCACAGTGATGCCATAGAAGAACCATTCAGTCAAAGGTTCTTTAAAGAACCATCTCTTTGTTACCTTTTTATAATATGAAGAACCTTTTGTGAAACAGAAGGTTAAAGGTTCTTTATTGAACCATTTAGACAAAAAGGTTCTTCTATGGCATCGTGAAGCACCTTTATTTTTAAGAGTGTAAGACTTTGCTATATTTCATGTCTTCCGATGTGAGGAACAGACCAAAATGTGAGTCCTTTTTCACTGGTAAACTTTCCCGTCAGTGAGCTGTTAACCTGAGAACTGCTGTAACTGGATCAACAAGTCTGCAAGTTAAACAAATCAGTAAGGTAAACACATCATTTACTAACTCAACGAGAAAAGAAACACCTCAAAACACCAATTAACTCAATGATCCAGTTCTTGAGGTCAGCTGACTGAATCAGTGAACTTATGCAAGGGCTCTATGGTTAACAACAAAAAAATGGTCAGTAAATAACAACTTCTTGTGGCATCAGAAGACTTGAAATGTAGTACATAAGTCATACAGACTAGTTTTCGGTGCTTTTATTTCTGTCCTTCTTACAAACTTTAAACTGTTGCTGTATGGAAAGAGCTGCATGAAGATTCTTCAGCAAAGCCTTTATGTTCCATCAACAGCTCAATGGTTTGGAACAACACGATGGTTTAGTTAGATGGTTAGTTTTGGGTAAACTATTCCTTTTATTACTGGCGCTTGGAAGTATGACGTCCATTTCTCCATTTGTCACAGAAACGTCTGCAGAATACAGTAAGCTACAGTAAACTAAAGTATTGAAATCATAATCAAATGATGGAAAGGAAAACAAACCAGCCCAGAGCTGAACCAGTTACAAAACCTGCAGGTTACAACGCTCTCAAAACATCAACCAATCATAAAAAGAGCAAAGAACTCATGGCTGTTTCTTGATTGCATGAATATTCAATATAATTTGTGCATTGCTTTCCTAAGAAAGCGTTTACAACAGCTGCAAGAACAAATCCTCTGAGGTCATATAACATTCCGTTCATAAAAACAGGACAAGACAAAAAAAAAAAAAAACACATAGCTCATGGGAAAGCTAAGTTTTTTTTTCTCTGTACACCATTAAAAGTAGTTTAATGGTAGTGGGTTCACAATGCTGGGTGAGACACGATACACTGTGACTTCCTCCTACATCCAATGATCAATGTACAGATTTTCAGCATGTGTACAGACACAACTTCATACTGTGTATGCTGTAGTGATTCAGGAAGGGGTGAGAAGAAAATACACAGACAGCGCGCTGGGTGTTACATTCACACAGCTTAATCACTGATTGGACGAATGGATGGTCTAGCTCTGTGGTGAAGCTCCAGAACGTAACGGTGAAACAATCTCTTGGTCTATGCTGACTGGTGAGAGGGTTCGGGGCTAGTTCTCTTCCCATTTCAGCAGTGAGTCTGGAGGTCTGGGGTAATAACCTGTTGTGATGGGCTTATCCGAAGAGAATCTCTGGAACTTAAAGTCTAGAGGAAGATCTAGAGGAGAGATGGAACAGGTGGACGTTTTACAGACAAACTATAAAACAAACTATATGTACAATAATAGGACCATTAAATATTTACACTGAAAAAGTCTTAAGACTGAAATATTTAATTTTAATATAAAAAAAAATGCCCTAGATGGTCGGGGACAACTGCACCAATTAAAAAGATAACTTTTTACACCAAATAAGAGTACGCAAAATAATAAAATAATTAATTACTAATGATAATGCTGAACAAATTATTTTGCCTTTCAGAAATATGTGCTTAAAGATAAAATCTTTGAAATGGGCCAAGTTATATAAATGTACTGATAATCTAATCAGTCAAAATTGTTTTTAAAATGTAATATTACATGTAATCATTTAGAACACACTTTAATTCAAAATGATTTAAAATAAGAACCACCACAAATAATGTTTTGTACAAAGGTCAATATTTGCAGTGTTGTCCAGCATCAGACTGCCTGAACCAGTAATTTTCTAACGCTTTTCATCTCAGACTTTTGGGTCGCTCTGTAAATATTGAACATGCCACTGTAGAAACAGTTACCAGGGGTGTAATCGATCTGCAAAGTCACAAAGCACAAGTCACATTTGGTGCTTCGTAACTTTGTAGATTGATTACATGCACAAATACCTACAACACACAAAAAAGAAAGATCCCCTGGAAGTTTCAGGTCTTTGATTAGTCAATTAAGAAATTAAGATTAACTAAACTCTACAAAAGATACTCAAAGTCATTGGATCCTCATAGCTGACGCTAGGCTTTGGAATAAAATGGCGAGTCAGACGATATTGAAAATCTGAAACTTTTCAATTAAATCTGAAAACAAAACGATACGATTTTGAAATTTACGATGTACCATGATGAAATTTTTAAGATTGTGCACCATTTCTAATTCAGAAAAATGCAAAAAAATAAATGCAAACTGGAAGTACCAGTCTCAGACTTTTGGACCCCTCTGTAGGTTTAATACACTTACCAGCTATAGCCTCAATGCTGGGTATAGCCATGGTGCTGTATGTGTGGATACTGTGGCAACACCAGGTGAGACTCCGTGTTTCCTCTCCTTCATTCTTTTGCACATCCACAAAATATGAGCCCCACTGGTTTGATACAGCTGAAGGAGATTTCATTCCTTGATCCTAAGAGAAAGATTATAAGAAAGAAAGAGCACAAGGTCAGTCAACCTTGAAAAACCCATGTGTGCAGCATCATACATAATGTTATATTTAATGTAGTATTTAGCATTCACAATACTGAATCTTTAGAGAGATTTGTGTGATATAGCCTTTAGCTTTAAATATGGGTCAAAGGTCTGTTCTCTTCCGGAAAAAAATGCTAAATGCAAAAAATGAAATAAACCTGTTACAATCGCCAGCTGGAGTGCCCACGAGCTCCGCTAGAGGGCACTCCATCCTGTACCTTTGCCATTCACTCCGGACTCCATTTCCCATAATCCTTTGCCTGGACTCATCAGATCTCATCATCAGTTCACAGCTGTCTCATATTAGGAGGACTATAAAGATTGCACTCACACATGACACATCGCTGTTTACTGTTAGCCTGTAACGTTTTCTGGTCTTCTGTGTTGCCTTGCCTTAGTGGTTTTGATCTTGGACTGTTATCCGTTTTGTGATTGTGACTGTCATCCAATGTGGAAGATCCACCATTGGTGTCTGTGCGAGCTGAGGGTTACCCTGCGAACTTTATGCTGACGAGCAATGCAGACTCTACGCTCACAAGCAACGCAGACTTTACGCTCACCGCGACACTGTTTCAGCACTCTCAAGCCCCGCCGTCTCAGCACACACAAGTGACACAGTTTCAGCACTCTCAAGTGACGCAGTTTTTAACGCTCGCTAGCCCACCGGCCACTACGCACTCTAGTTCATTGGGCATAGCACCATTCGTCTCAGAAATAGTCACGTGCTCTCAGTCTTACCTGTGATGGCTACGGCCATTTTATTTGTTTGGGCCGCACACACCGCCACAGTTCCAGAGTTTAGAGCAGAAAGGGCTTCTGTTCCCGAGTTTAGCCCAGAGAGGGCTTCTGATCCCGAGTTTAGCCCAGAGAGGACTTCAGATCCAGAGTTTAGCCCAGAAAGGGCTTCTGTTCCTGAGTTGAGCCCAAAAAGGGCTTCTGTTCCCAAGGTTAGCCCAGAGATGATTCCAGCCCCTGACCACAGCCCAATGTCTGTTTCAACCCCTATTTCAGTCTTGTGTCTGCCTAAGCCTCTGAACAAAGCTCCGTGTTCACTCCAGCCCCTGACATTAGTCTAGTAATGGCTCTGACCCGACAGTAGTCTAATGATGGACTTCAGCTCCTGAGTACAGTACAAAGATGGCTCTAATCTCTGAGCCTGCTCTAGTCCATGAGTCTGATCCAGGACCAGATCCAGTCTATGAATCTGCTCCAGAGTCCACTCTAGTCGCAGAGTCTGCTCCAGAATCAGCCCTATTCCGCGAATCCATTCCTGAGCCTGCTATAGTTTCATCCATTTATGAGCCTCCTCCAGTCCCTGAGTCTGCTCCAGAGCTCACTCCAGCCCTTGAATCTGTCCCACAGCCCGCTTCTGTCCCTGAGTGTGCTCCAGGTCCCCCTGAGGTGGCAACTTCCATTGCAGAACCTCCCATGGTGGTGATGTCCTCTCCAGCTCATCCTGAGACAGCAGCACCATTCTTCCTCAAGCTCTAGGTATACTCAGTCACCTCTGATCCAACCATTTTTAAAGCTCCTGTTGCTACTGCTGTAGAACCTCCAGAGGTGGCAGGGGTGTTTGCTTCAGCTCCTTTAAAGACAGGGGTGCCCATTTATGAACTCTTCGTCTGTCCTGATGAGGTCATTGAGACCATCAATGAATCCAGTCAAACCCATCTCGGCCAAAGAAGCTGTTCATGAACTCTCAGCTCTGCTTGTTACGGAGACCGCCTCTGAATTCACTCAATGTTCTGTTCTGCCCAAGGAGGCTGACTGTGAACTCTCTGTTTGCCCTGCAACGACTAAGGAGGTCTGTAATTCTGAACTCTCAGATTACCCTGTCATGGCTAAGGAGTCCGTTTCCGAGCTCTTCATCTGTCCTGTCACGATAATAGAGGCCGTCTGTGAACTCTCTGCCTGTTCTGTCATGGTTATGGAGGTCATCTGTGAACTCTCTGACTGTCCTGTCATGGCCATGGAAGCCATCTGTGAACCCTCTGATTATCCTATTACGGTCTAGGAGGCAGTTTATGAACTCTCAGCCTGTCCTGTCATGACTAAGGAGGTCATCTTTGAACTCTCTTCCTGTCCTGTCACGGTCGAAAGGGCTGTCCCTGAACTCTCTGCTCACCCTGCTATGGCCAAAGATGCCATTTATGAACTCCCTGACTGTCCCGTTACGGTCAAAGAGGCAGTTTATGAACCCTCAGCCTGTCCTGTCACAACCAAAGGGGTCGCCTTTGAACTCTCTGCCTGTCCTATCACGGTCAAAAGGGCTGTCCCTGAACTCTCTGCTCACCCTCTTATGGCCAAAGAAGCAATTTCTGAACTGTCTGCCCATCCTGTTATGGCCGCAGAGGCTGTTGTTAACCTCTCTGTGTTTTTTTTGTTTACTCTTAGTCTGTAACGTTTTCTGGTCTTCTGTGTTGCCTTGCCTTAGTGTTTTTGATCTTGGACTGTTATCTGTTTTGTGATTGTTTGCTGCCTGTGGCATTTACCCCCGGACTCAATTTCACATAATCCTTTGCCACAGCTGTCTCATATTAGGAGGACTATAAAGATTGCACTCACACATCGCTGTTTACTCTTAGTCTGTAACGTTTTCTGGTCTTCCGTGTTGCCTTGCCTTAGTGTTTTTGATCTTGGACTGTTATCTGTTTTGTGATTATTTGCTGCCTGCCCTGACCTCTGCCTGTTTGTTGGATTACTCTTTTGGATTGCCTTGGATTTAACTGTTTGTACCATAAATAAATAAATAAACTATATACAAATACCAAAGAAAAAAATAAAATGTTTTTAAAGCTTATCCTCAAAAAGTAAATTAAAAACTAAATCTGGTCTCACTTCATTAAAAACATTTTCATAACAATCAATCAAAAAGTAAAGAGTCCTAGAGGAGATCAAGCCATCAAAATACGCTTCAGAGAAACTGGACTCTGGCATGAGGGGCATAAAGGAGGGTCTTACTATTCTGATGCAGATTCATCACAACATAGGCAGATGCCAACATGGACAAGTTTCAAGTTTCATGACATGTATTCATCTTTAAAAACCAAACACAAAAATACACAAGGCAAAAGAAAATAAGATAATAATTGTATAAAATTATAATAATTGAGAATAAGCATGTCAATCAGAAAAAAAGCATTTTGCCAATAAATTATTGATTTAATAATAATAAATACAAATGAAATTAAGAGTTTAAGGACATGATTTTGAGTTGGGTCCCCATTTGATGTCCAGTATAAAAGCTGAGATCTGAAGCAAACTGTTTCTCTCAGCATGTTGTAAAGATGTAGGCCTAACTGAACAGAAGGACTTCAATAGAATGAAACTCTCTGATCTGAGAAAAAAGGAAGTGTTTGATCAGAAATTCCCATAGTTTGACAGAAAAAAACCCTGTTGCATAATACTGGTTTTGTGACTTTTTTAAGAAAAGGGAAAAATGAATCACAAAATACAAAGAAATCCAGGTCTGCGGCATAAATCGGTTAATTTCCCAATAAAAATTAACCTCTTATCAGCACTATTTTTTAACAAGGTTTTTCAAAATATCAGTATAATAAAATTGAGCATAGTCCATATACTGGAATACAATTTTCGCATAAGCAGTGACTAAATATCACTGGGGTCACTAAAACTGAATGACAAAGAATCCTAATCCTAACCCTAACCATATAGTAAGTACATGTAGTTAATTAATATTACTCAGTATTTAAATGTATAATAACACTGGAACAAGAACACCTTAAAATAAAGTATAACCATACTTTCTTTTAATTTTAGGTGCATTTGTTTCCCAGTAATTACTCCTTAATTAAAGGACAACTTTAGCAGAATAGCTTTAGTCACTCTTAAATATCAAACAAACATTTTAGACAGTTAAAGACCAGTCAAAATTACATTACATTTAAAATAACATTTTCAGTGAGGGTTAGGGTTAGGTCATCTCAAAAACTGAATTATAAACCCTAAATGACACAGCAAGGGGTTGAGTGACGTAACAGCTTTCTAAAAAATGATTTCCTCAAAAATGATATTTCTGCTGTATAAACATTTTTTTACAAAAACATCCACTATATTTCCTGTAATTCTCCACTTCCTCCTTCCTGCTAACTGCATTTCCTCTCAGTGGTGTCTGTATAAAAGAACATCTGATTGTAAGCAGATTCATGCTGCTGTTTTTCAGATCCCTGATGAAACAATCAAGATCAAAATATGTATTATTTTGATTGGAATTACGAGCATAATTCAGAGTTATGAACAAAACTGTAACTAAACTGAACAAAAATAGATTTTTTTGATGGTGCTTTAAAGAAACAGATATATATTTGTGCCACAAACAGATGAGCGCATACATAATGCCAACTCACAGCACCTCTGAAATGGAGCGTGGAAAAGATCCTGAGCTTGACTAAACAGAAACAGCCTTTCACTCTCACCTCAAACTTGCCCTTTTTCCCTGCCGGGCCTTCACTTGGGGTGGGGCTGTTACTGGGGGTCGCGTCAGCACGTGGAACACCCTCCCCCTCCATCTCCTCCACAATCATCACCGTCTCCAACTTTCCAAAGCTGCAGGCCGGGAACATGTCCGAGCGCATGCTGTCTCCGAAATACACCACCTGCATCAGATAAGACACACACGTGGACACAAATCAGTACACAGACTCAGACTCAGACTCACACACACACACACAGTATGCAATATCATTTCTAGCTGCAGAAACACTTTATAATAACTTCAATTACAAACATTACTACATTATTGTCATGCTGAAAAAATGCCCAATAATGCAGGGATTGAGGGGAGGGTAGCATCTTCTGTTTTAAGTTTTTGTATTACATCACAACTCCCTCACACCTTCAGCACTCATACATCCCTATATAAAAGCTTTACTACCACTGAACGTCACTGTGGGTACCAAGCACTTCTCTCTGTACTCCTCCTCTAGCAACACCAGAACATGTTGGATGCTGTTAGATCTGAAATGATTGACTTGGTCTCATGAGACCAGAGTATGGATTCCCAGAAATCTCTATTTTGTAAATATGGGCCCTGGAAGAGGTTAAATGAGTTTATTTTGCTTTGGCTATAGTAGGTAATTCTAGTGGTAATAACAACCATGCATGTCACTTCTTCATGCTGCGTCATACTCTGTGAGATTAAGTGTCACTCTTTTCGTAGCTTTTGCCGGCTCTGAGACACTTGCATGTTATTTCTCCTGCTCTTTTTCTAGCAAAAAATCAGACATCACTAAATGAAAACTTAAAGTGAAGACCTGATTATTTCAGGAGCCTTATCACAAGTCCATTGTTTTTGAATGTTGGTGCTACTTGTGCTATATTTTCACACTTAAAACAATAATTTGGTATTCCTCATGTACCATTGTCCTCTTTTATGGTAATAAGTTCTCTCTCAAGTGGTTCCACTGCTGCCAGCATTAAGTCTGAGTATGATTCAGTGGGCTATATAACACTTTTAACTGACAGGAAATTTTAAAAGTTTTGGTTCAATATACTTACCTGTTGATCAAAAATAGCCTCTTAACACTTTTTGAAATTTTGTTTTATTTAGTAACTTTCAGGAGGGTGTACTCATTTTTGCAACACAAAATTTGATTACTTTGATAAGTAAATCTTATTTTGCTGAATAATTTTGGTATTCTTTGGTAATTGATCAAGCAGGCTTGTTGGAACATTACATCTCCAAAGAACCCTAACATGTCTTCTAAGAAAAGAGTAATTGCTGAATTTGTTAAGTTTTAGAGGGGGTGTACTCATTTATGCTGTGCACTGTATATATATAATGTGTATATATATATATATATATATATATGTGTGTGTGTGTGTGTGTGTGTGTGTATATACACAGTATATATGTATGAGAAATATAATATATGAGAAACCGCCAAACGGCTATTTAATATTTCAATCATTATAGACTAGGAGTGGGATTCTTTAGGCACCTCAGGATTCGATCAAATTCCGATTCTGGGAATCACAATCCAATTCTAAAATGATTCTTAGTCTACATTACCTTGGGCTCTGTTTTGTTGGTCATGGTCTTCAGTAGTTCGTGGAGATGAGGCCAGTTGCCCTGAGAATACCAACCAGGCTTTTCCAGAGATGGCAGTCCTTCACTATCTTCAACATCATCCACTATTAAGACAGAGATGAGAAAGTGTGTTATGTTTTAGAAACGATGAAAGAAATTAAACATATATACATAATGAGCATAATAAAAAATACTGCTGTACAGTAATACTTAATACACTTGGCTTTTCCACAGTATGGATGGTTTTAGAAATATCAAAATAATACAAATATTGGATTGGACATTTGTGCATACATATTTTGAAGACTAAGTTATATGCCTGAGATCAGTCTTCTTACTACAAAAATAACCAACTGCAAATATTATTACCCAGTCTCTGTTACCCATAGTGTTATACCTGTTTGTCAAAATGTGGCATGCTATTGGAGAATTTAGATATTTTGTATGAGTTGAAAAGGCTGGGATCATTTTAAGCATAATGGCATGAAATACCACTGCCAAAATAACCCCAAAACATCTGTACCACAACTTGAATTGTGAACAAATCAAAACAAAGGAAAATAAAAAGCCTGGGCCTCATTTATAAAATGTGCGTATGCACAGATTTGATCTTAGAGTGTGCGTACGCTAAATTCCACGGCAACGTGCATATTTATAAAAACGGTCTTTGACGTGGAATAGTACATACCGCCACGTCAGGATCTGAGCAAGCGTACGCACTTTTCCTTGTGGCAAAGTCAGAGTACTGCAGCTATTTGAACATCTAAGCATCATAAACAACAAAGATGCGGTGTAAGAGATTAATTGTGCAGTGTAATCAGATTTTTTATTAACAGGAGTTTTTGCGAGATTAAACTAACCTTTTTAGTAGCCTAATGTTGAGAGTTCTTTACTCGCTTTCTGTAGGCCTACACAGTTTATTCCATATTGTTATTTTTTCTGATCTGACACCAGTCAGCTGCGCACAATTTCAAGATCATTTGCGATTTATAAATGTCACATCTGGAAGAGGCGTATACGCACTTGTTTTTGTGCGCACGTTCGTTTTCTCTGAATCGCACTTATGCACTTTTGAGAAATGATCTTAGAACAAATTCAGGACGGTTTATACGCAACATTTTATAAATGAGGCCCCCTGAGTGCAGCAGAAACGCAAGGTATTATACTGTATCAAAAGCATGACTTGGGTTAGGAACCGAGAACTGATTCTAATTTAGTACTGGCTCCATTAAAAGAAAAAAAAATCATGCAGCCAAATTATTTTCATAAAGTTCAGTTGTTTGTGCGTCTTGAATGAGGTGAACTGCTTTAGCAGAAGTGTGCATTTGAAGTTTGAACTTTTTCTCTAATTATACAAAGACAGCATAATTACAGCATAATTACTGCAGCGCAGTCTTGGGAAATATCTCACCCAGCGTTCTGAAAGGTCTCTGCTGCGGAACCAAAGAGAAGAATCCAGGCTTCAGAGCATTAGTGATAATGATGTCAAACAGCTCCTCAAAGTCCGATCTGCAAAAATGAGAAATTATTTGTAGGGAGATATTTGATGGCCAAAATTCTCTGTAATGCCCCTATGCTAAATGCAAAATCATATACGTAGTATAGAGTGATGAGGAATATCTAGTTGTTATGTATAATATTCAAACAAAACATCTCATTCACTAATAAAGCACAAATAAGACTTTGATTATATTATATTGTAAATAACTGGCAAAGTCTTGATTAATCTAAAAATGTTCCCATGTCAATATTTTCGTATTGATTTCTTTCATTTGCGTTTGGTGCTCACCCGAGTATGTGCTCACACACGAGCCGGCAGTAGTCAGAGTGTGAGCTGGTGATGAGCAGCAGGATTTTCCCGCTCTTCTTCATGCTCCTCAACCATCTCTTCACCGCATCTGAGCAGGGCTGCAGGTAACGGCCAGGACAGTGCTTCACACTGGGGAAATACGTCCCTGTGTCCTCTAAACAGGAAATATGTCCGAATAAAACACTGCATCAATCATTTCTTAATAAGGTTTCAAACACAGGGTCATTTGAAGGATTTCTTTTTTTTATTGTCAGAAAATTATGCATATGTAAATTCAACACATGTATACACCTTATTCAGTAGAAGAAACTGAAATAACTTTAGGCATGACACAGTATTACTTAATAGAGTAATATTTCTATAATTTGCCTAAACACAAAAAATACAATTATTCCATGGTCTGTCTGAATACTGGTTTCTGATTGGCTGGCAGGTATGCCGTAAAACCGTTTAATGCACAGGTAGTTCCAAGTCAGTTTAATCACCGTTCCATATTAATGCGCTGCTTTAATTGATGCACACTAACCAACACGCATCACTCGCGCACACACACACACACACACAGAGAGAGAGAGAGAGATCGAGGTCAGAGATCGCTGATTGTGCTGCACACACACACACATAAACTTGTTGTCAATGCTTCTCCGTGATTTTCATGAATGAAATAGCCTAGATACTAGATCGCTACATTATATTTTATGTTTTTGAAGTAATTGTTTGTACAGAGAGACATGCAGACGCAGCAAACGGATACACACAACTGTCATCTCTCTCTCAAACGATCGATCAAAAATTAATTGAAATACATGCCATAATTCATTCAAATAAATATGGTCTTACCACACTATTTCATCTCTGTGTCTGATTTGAAGCGGGCAGAATGCTAGCGCTAACGTACCGTAACTGACGAAAAGAACTGTCATTTTTACCCATTCGGTCAAATATTGTGCTGCAAAGAGCAATCCGAATGAATTTGTCTATAACTTGGCAAATGACCATGGAATAAGCGGTATAATCAATGGCTAGCCGTGCATTAAAGGATTTTAACTCCGCTTCGCGTCGGGCGGTTCTTTGCCTCCACGTCGTGCATTTAAAATCCCACCGGCTAGCCGTTGATTATCCCTTACATATACAACAAATCATAAGACAATAGTTATTAGAACAAGGCATTACATTTATAGTAGCATGAAGTTAAAAGACTAACTAGCAACAATATAGTTTAAATCAAATTAATTAGTAAAAACTATAAACTTATATTAACCATAAAGATTAAGGAATACATGTACAATTACTAAACAAGGGTTTTTTTTTAAGATAAGATGCTTATTTTAAGAACATCCATGCTCATCAAGGCTGCATATATTGTGAAACATTATTAAGGCATGAAGTTAAAAGACTAACTAGCAACAATATAGTTTAAATCAAATTAATTAGTAAAAACTATAAACTTATATTAACCATAAAGATTAAGGAATACATGTACAATTACTAAACAAGGGGTTTTTTTAAGATAAGATGCTTATTTTAAGAACATCCATGCTCATCAAGGCTGCATATATTGTGAAACATTATTAAACATATTAATAAATTGAAATATATATATTTTATACAATTTCAACAGTTTTCTATTTGAATATATTATAAGATACAATGCTGAAATTTCAGCAGCCATTATTCCCATCTCCTTCAGAAATCATTCTAATATTCTGATTTGGTGCTCAAGAAAAATTTATTATTATTATTATTATTATCAATGCTGAAAACAGTTGTGCTGCTTATTACAATTCTTCAGGATTCTTTGATGAATAGAAAGTCCCAAAGAAACAGTGTTCATTTGATATATAATAATAATAATAATAGTCTTACTGTCACTCTTTATCAATGTCTCCTTGTGGTATAAAAGTATTATTTCTTTCAACAAAAAACAAACAAAAGATAAGACAAAAAAGACATTACAGCCCCAAGCTTTAGAATGGTAGTGTATGTTTTCTTTAGTAGCCAATTTAATAGTATTCATCCAAGATTTGAGAGCATCACATTATCATTACAGCAGTTTTGTTGAAATCAGGCATCATCTTGCAGTCCAACTAGGTTTTTATTTACTTGTCAGTCTAATTTTCATTTGTGTGTGTGTGTTAATTTGGGACCCTGTCTACAGCACTGCCAGCACTTTGCATATTTTAGATGATTTCCATTAGGGCTGTGCGGTATTGAAGAAAAATGCGATATTCGATATGTGATACGATAATGCTTAAAGTGCCACATGCTCAGATGAAACAGTTTTACTCAGCTGTTGCTGAGTCAGTTCTGTGAACTTCTATAACTATGTGTCATATATATATATATATATATGGTTATTTGTATGTATGTATGTATGAGTTCCTGTAAAACCACAACAAATTCCTCGTGTTTGCGCACACTTACAGTGGGGCAAAAAAGTATTTAGTCAGCCACCAATTGTGCAAGTTCTCCCACTTAAAAAGATGAGAGAGGCCTGTAATTTTCATCATAGGTATACCTCAACTATGAGAGACAAAATGAGAAAAAAAATCCAGAAAATCACATTGTAGGATTTTTAAAGAATTAATTGGTAAATTCCTCGGTAAAATAAGTATTTGGTCACCTACAAACAAGCAAGATTTCTGGCTCTCACAGACCTGTAACTTCTTCTTTAAGAGGCTCCTCTGTCCTCCACTCGTTACCTGTATTAATGGCATCTGTTTGAACTTGTTATCAGTATAAAAGACACCTGTCCACAACCTCAAACAGTCACACTCCAAACTCCACCATGGCCAAGACCAGAAGAGGATTGGGAGAATGTCATATGGTCAAATTAAAGGAAAAATAAAGCACTGCGTATAGTATTTACTCTTTGAATTCAATATGCACTGATTTATTGAAGCTACAAATGTTATTTAGGTCAGAGCAGTGAGTGATTTTCTCTTTGTCTTTTGTTCATGGCCCCAAATATTGTAAACTGTAGCGATATGCATATTGCGATATTTCGATATATTGCACAGCCCTAATTTCCACCTCATCTTTATTTCTTATCCTAGCGCTCTATCTGACCTAACGCAGCCCATATGGTTTACATCAATCAGACACACACAACTCATGATTCCAAAACTTTTTCCACAGCCCACATCTCTCAAACAAAAAAATACCCACACAGTTCGCCAGATCGCAGGCTTGAGCATCAAACTGAACCACGGTCAGAACTCAGCATAAGCCATTCACGCATCTAACCCTGAAACTGGAACACACTGAACGTCCAGATTTAAACAAATCTGTGTAAGAACATGTCAAATGCTTCGCTTCCAAACTGAAAGCTGCTGCGTGAAGCAGTCTGATCAGAATTCACAAACCACACAGAACCGAGTTATTTGAGGACTAAAACCTAGACGAATGGAAAAACAGAGCCACTGGAGTGTGTAGATTGGCGAGTTGTTAGTGAAAGAGTAAAAGTATCAGTATACAGCTGGCTTACTAAAACAGGAAGTGGACTGTGTTTGCCTGGAGTGAAGGAATGCGCTCCATATGTGAAAAGTACCGTGTCTTCATTTCATGAACAGGAGAAAAGGAGACGTAGGAAAACAGGCATATTCACCAGTCTTCAGTTTATACTGGCAAATACTGCCGCACCACGTACACACAGCCACGTCTCCGAGCCCTCAACTCAACTCATCTCACTTTATGTAGTTAATAAAACCTTACTTGTATCACACTTGACGTTGTTCATTGTTTGCTCATAACTGGAGTCACTTAATCATGCAGATTTATGCTTCAAGCTTTTGTAGAATTGTACAGTAAGAAAGTTATTTCCCTTAACCAGGAAACTAACGTTCTTAGAATTGACAAGACAATATCTACATAAATATCTACAGCGGATCTAAAATATGAATAATTAATTATAACTAGTTATGGTTAATTATTCATATTTCCTCATGAGCTGAGTCGCTACAGTAAAGACATTTAACCTGATTAATTATGGATTGATTTGTCTGAGACCAAATAGCTAATCCATATGCCATGTGTGATAATATCATTGAATTTAAAAACAAAAAAGCATGATCACATGTTAAACAATTTCTTATTATTCTAAAGCTAGTAAGATTCGTTTTACGCAACTTTTTAACATGACTTTTAAAATGTAACTGAGAATCTAAAATCATACCAAGATATTTTTCTTCTGATACTTGTTCTATAATCTCATCTTTAATTCTAATGTTTAATGATTCTGTTATCTGTGATTTTCTTATTGAAAAGCATATGGACTTTTTAGTATTTAAAGTTAAAAAAGAGGCATCAAGCCAAGCTGACACTTTCTCTAAATTTCTTGTTAACTTTTCTTCAATTTCCATACAGTTCCTACCAGATACGCAGACAACCGTGTCATCAGCATACATTTGAAGACTCGCATCAGGACACACTTCTGGAAGATCATTTACAAAAATGCTAAAAAGAATCGGACCCAAAACTGTTCCCTGAGGAATTCCTATATCAATATTATGAGGAACTGACTTAAAATTATTAATGACAACACTTTGTTCACGATTTTTTAAATACGATTCAAACCATAACAGAGATTGTTTTGATATATTATACTTTGTTATTTTTGACATTAAAATATTATGATTTACGGTATCAAATGCCTTTTTCAGATTCAGGAATACTGCACCAACTTTAAATTCTTTATCGAGTGACCGCTTAATATTTTCTAATAATAAGCAAGTAGCAGTTTCTGTAGAATGGTTATGTCTAAAACCAAATTGTAAAGGGTGTGTATAATAAATGACAAAACGTATAAAAGTATTATATTAACAAGCCAAATGGAAACATTTACAGTAGTGGTCTCTTCCAGAAACACTTTTTTTTTTTTGCCCAACTTATGTTTAGATGCATAAATGTTTGTTTGCACACATTCATATCTTGTGTGCTAAACTGGACAGCGTTGGTCAGGACACATCTTATCAGAGTAATGCTATTACAATAACAGTTATATAGACATTTCCCTTTAAGCTGACTTTTGTCAGCCGGAATATGTGTACAAAATTTAAACAAAACAAAAATTTAACAGCATGGTAACGGAGTCATCCAAGTGAATTACTGTTACCGTGCTGCCCTCAAGTGGTAAACTTCCCGTATTACTCCCAC